ACTGTTAGATAACACTGATAAGAATTAAAATATTTTTACTGTTGCGTGCCAAGTGATGTACGAAGGTTGATGATTCGAACTGGATTCGAAAATATAGCTGTATGATTTCAAATAAAAATAGCCTTCCATTATAAATATCTAATTATAATTTGAACATAAATAGCACATTGCCTTTTATTACTGCTGGATTATAGGAATTACATAACAACAGATCATATAACACTAATTGTAAGAAACTGTTCACTATTGTAAAATAAGAAATAAATAAAAATAAATTTAAAAAAAGATAATGAAAACGTGTTCTAACAGAGTATAAATTGTGCATAAATACTCAAAATCGAATATCCAGAAGAAAGATTGTAAAAGCCAAAATGGCTACAGTTTGATCTGGTTGATTTTTTACTGCAAAAAATAAAATATATTCTAGTACTTACTTTAACAGTCCGGGGCTGCTTTAATTTTTACTGTTGATACACAAATATAATTAAACACACATTGTTATATAAATCACTTCAATCAAAATAAGCGATTTCAGAACATATCACTTATGACTGTGGTTTACACATATTGTTTTTATCATTACTATCATGTTTAATATAATTGTTTTTATTTTATATCATATAATTATATAAAATAAAGATTTTATTCATATTTAATTTTGACCACTCTTTTTTGTATATCTGTTGAACTTTCTTTTCATAACACATATTTTAACAACACAGTAACTTGGTGGAAAAATTAAAAATTGCTAAATTATTTCGAATAAAAAGTATCCTTGGTCGACGATGATGGATTCACTACTAATATCCAAATTTAATATAGCTCCGCATATAAGAATTTTAATACACTAGTGTACAGTTAATACATAAAATATTAAGAGATATCGACATCTCATAGGAATGGCTTGTTTTCACTTCAACAACTACGACAATACTACTAAATTAAATTTACTGTCAATTCACATCAAATGCTTATCAAATGATAAACTCCAAATAAGGAACCATTATATAACGCCATATTTTTTGCCAGAATATATTTTGTTGGTCATGCGAACTAGGTGTCTTCCTTCGTGGCTCAGTTGGTAAGAAGTATGCTTTTCGTATCAGAGGATCCAGGTTCGATACCCGCCTTAAACAGCGTGAACAGGTAATGGTTACATTGATTTTTGGTTGATATCAAGTATTGCCTCATCAATAAAAAATTCTTCAGTATCACGAAAATTGTAATAATAAATTCATCACACAAGTGTGGGACAAGCATTTCGGTAAGGAGGCGTCCATTAATCACGTGAGCGAGTTTTTAAGGATTTTTGAACCCCCCCTCCCCCTTGGTGATATTCAAAATTATCCCCCTCCCCCATAAACATCACATGTATTTTTAGTTACGAGTAAAAATCGTAAAATTTTTAAGTATTTTGAGTGTAAGTATTTTTTTGAAATTATTTGATTTAAAAAAAAATCAGTTAAAAATAAATACATGTGATATCTTACTATACCCCTCCCTTCCCACCGTAATATTTCGTGATTTTTTGTCAAACCCCCCCTCCCCCTAAAAACCTCACGTGATTAATGGACGCCTCCTAATCATTATTCAAAGGCTACATTATTTAAAAAGTTAGAACAGCTCATAGACTTAACACCGTGGATTTTTTAGAAGGCAACCCAATAGTTTAGTCTATTTATTTACTAGAACAAACATTTTATTCACTAGAATTTTTATAATGATGATGACCTTTTTCTATTTTAACTTTCGACCTGTATCTTAACTTTCACTTGATCAATTTTTACGTGAGATATATTTTCATCTATATTTACTAGCAAAGAATGGATATAACTATTGCTTTATATCAAGTTGTACAAAACGTGAGAACAAAATTTACACTCGTGATTAATGAGCCGATTGCAACGTCACTCGTATGTTATGATCCTGAGTCAGAAAGACCCTGTAATCTAAGATCGTTTTTTTGACATTTGTGCAAGGATAGGTTTTCTATCTGACAACCTGAGAAAAAAGCCTGACTGCAAAGCAACCTCAAGGCTTTTTTTCAATATATAGAACAAATCATTTATATAATTAAATAATAAATAATAATTAGTAAAGAAAATTATTGATTATTAATTATTAATTATAAATTAATGATTATTAATGATTAATACGTTTGTTTGCTTCGGTTCAGTTATGCCAATTCCAAATCAAGTTAATCTTATTTTTTTTAATTTAAATTTGATGGAAATCGTGTGTATAATTAGAAGACTGAAGTTGATATTCTCATCACCATAAAAAGTGAATACCGCTTATTTTGTGGTATCCATCAATGGACAACCACTTAGTTGCTTTCTGATAAACTTAAGTTATAAAGAATTACTGAAGATTGTTCTTATAGCTTTTTTAAATTAAAATAGTGTTGTATGTATTCATACTCAAACCTACTTGTTAATACCCTCATTTTTCTTACTAGACTGGTATATAATAATTGATGTAAACATAAATTTGAATATATATATATATATATATATATATATATATATATATATATATATATATATTATATATATATATATATAATTTTATGATGCATTACAATATATTTTTTCTGAATAATATAATCCAGCAAACAATTGCTACAATAAAAATAATCCATTAAAAGTTTTGTACCAAACATATCAATCCAAATATATGTAACTTAATATTTGACTTGATATAATTTTTTAAAAGTGTTCTTATTTGTCGAGATTTAAAACTAAATTATAAACTTTCTTGACTGATGATCAACTGGTAAGAGTTGATCATAATAAATACATTTTTGATATTTTGAAAACTATGTAACTTTTAATTCTTCCTTAACAACACAAGTAGTTTAGGCAAATTAAAGCAAATTAGGGTTTCAATAAAATTTGAGAGAATCTGTAAATGTGGTATGTATACCTACTCCCTTAATGTGAGACCCATGATATAAATTTAGTTGAAAAAACTAAGTTTACCCTTACAACATATTTTCATATAATTCTATTTTGTCTGATGTGAGCTTTTAATTAATAAGTCTTTTGGTTCAGAGAGTTTTACAGGAGAATCTGATATATATGCTGACTATTATATACGTAGTCAACGGTTGCTCGATTACTTATTGTGGTTTCAATATGAAAGCCACAAAAGGCCTATTAGTTTATTTTGCATCATATAAGATATAATAATTCATTCAAAAGTATTTAATTACATTCAATATTATTTCAAAAATAATAAATAATAAATTAATTATTCCATAAATAATTTGTGAGTATGTACATTATAATTTAATCATACAATTAATTGTACAAATTTTATTGTAGTAAAACAGATCAGGTTATGGAATTTCAAATTTCTAATCTTTGGTACGACTATCTAAAATAAAAAACATATGGTGATAAATTTGTATATAAATTTAAATGATTTTTAATAATAATTTTTGTTACAAGCTGAGAAAGATTGTAACTATTCGAACATTCCAAATTATTTTATTTAATTTCTTTATTCTTTTATAAAATGTATTGAATTCTTTTTTTTATGTTATATTTAATATATTTCCAAGGTAATATTAATAAACTGATGTTTTTAAATAATGTAGAAGATAATATACAATTGTAATGATCATATATTTTTATTAATCAATTTGTACATTATTGCATAAATATAAAATTATTATAATGTTACCAATCATCTAAAAGTTATATATAATATATTTGTAATGAAACATTTAAAAAACAAACATATAATTAGATTATGTTTTTCATAGAACAAATTTATTTCGAGTCTTAATTTAAAAGCAGCAACAAATGAGCAGTCAAAATGTCGGAAATGTACTTATTTCTAAACACATTAATATTTTCATAATATTAATTGGAATTGTCTATGATACAGAAAGAATGTCCAAAACTAATAACTACATATTATATATTTATAAAGAACTATATGGTCTATCTATATGCATGAATCATTAATGGTAGCAATATGTTATTTGAGCATATCGGTAAGGAAACTCGTCCAGAAGAATTGTGCACATTTCGTAGCTGCAATAAATTAAATCCAATCACATGTTCTTTTTTACAATTAGTTTCCTACTACATTGACATTTCCTAATTAGTAGATTTGAATCACGAATGTTGTAAGAAAATACAGTTTCAATCGTCAAAAGCATTTTTTGGCAAATATTACAGACTGTGTGTAATTTTTATTAAAGTACACAGTTATGATTCATTAATAGATTTCATATATATAGGTAGGTTTATATATATTTACAACTCCATATTATCTTAATTTATTTACACCACATATAAGATAATTCGCATGCGGGGGAGAAAGTAAAAGCAGGAAGCATGATTAGTTTTTCAAGCACCAAATAGTTTCTTTCACATATCAATTCTGCCAAATGTTCCTACATCGTTTCACTCAACCCCATGTAATCACGCGAACAAGAAGACACATAAAATATAACTTAAAAAGGCACTATTCATCATTATTATTACAAGTCCTTGCAAGTCTTTTGCGTGGTCAGTTTCATAATTGGACAATTATATCCTAAATTTATGCACTATACATATATATTCTTACGCATATTAACACATATGCAAACATAGTACACTTCGTATTCCATATTCCAATTAACCTACATATAGTACAATTTACTTAAATTTTAATTAAAACCTAATCCAGTTTTAGTCACCTCTCTTAGCACACTGTCGAATTCGTAAAAAGGTACATCGTTTTATTTTCTAATCTATTTTGGTCCTCAATGTACATTCTATGGCACCCAACACTATAAAAATACTCAATGTTTTCTTGTTAGACCTCCGTTCCATCTTCGCATTCGTCTTCGTAGAGTGGCGTCGATTCCGCTCTCAGGATCATCTTGCTAGGCTTCGGCGGAACTTTGGGCCCGACCTTACCGGATGGCCTCAGGGCTGGCGTTTCTCTCCCCGGCAGTACAGTTACAGACATCTCGTCCGTGCGTCCCAGGGATGCGCCTTCAGGCTGCGTTCTATTCTCATCGCCCAGAGGCGTATAATGTGGCGGCAGCGGCAGTGGGCGACTTCTCATCGTTCCGGCAGCATGAGGTGCCGGAGAACTTGCCGCAAGCTTATTCAAAGACAGCACGGAGCTGCCGTCGGCTGTAGTTCGTAATCCTAAGTTGTCGTACACCGGCTCGCAGTCGTCCTTCGTGAGTGTAGTCTGAGGCGGCGCCGAACTGACAGACCACTTTTGACCGGACGGACGTCTCGGTATCGTCACATATCCATGCCTTGGTGGGACGTTGATCACGGTGCCAGTGAATGGAGACTGAGAACGCGAGTGCGAATGCGAATGCGGCAGTGTGCGGAATCGATACTGGTAAGCAGATCCAGATGGAGACTGAGGCCCAACCGAGGCTGTGCTGCTTCCAGCTGGCGATAATTGCGGTGCACGTGCAGGGAATGAGGGCAGTAGATCAGGTCGATGAGTGCGATCGTCATGGGCTCGAACATATTCAGGATCAAGACAATCTCGAGATCGCTGAGTTCGCGTCGGCTCGGTGAAGTCCAAGGAACGGCTCTCTTCATCAGCACTTCCAGCTACAAATAATAAAATGTGAGTAATGCGGATATATTACAGTGAAAAATTATATTTTTGAGATACTACAATGCCAGGTCCAAGAATTCAATTTAAAAAGATAATCAATACTTAGCATCAGATATAATTGAAATGTTGTGAGTTTTGATCTTTAACATTTTAAGAATTTTTAAACAAATATTTATTATGCCGGAACATATTAACATTAAATTTTAAATCAAGTTTCTGGATTTTGATTTAACAACTCGCATATTTATATCTATGTAAGGCTCTAAAAATGAATAATAACAAAAAAACTATATGAACGAAACTTACATATATAATATTAATAAAGTGCTAATTAAAGATCTATTCAATATTTCAATAGCCATAAAATATAAACTTTATTATTATTCTAATCAAAGTGATTCATAAAATACATACCAAAGACTGAATCCCCATCAAGCAAAGTTCGGCTCATTTCGGTTACTTCTGTAGTTTTCGTATCGTTTATATTATCTCGGCGCGGTGTCTTGACGAATACGGTGGATGTGTTTAATAAACTCTTTTCCATTTCAGGAATTACAGAGCCTTCAAGCATTACAGAGTCGCCATTCATATTTAAAGGTTCGCATTTAGAGTCCCGCGTGTTCCTCCTTCTGTAAAAAAAACAGCCCAGCAGCAGTCCAAGTGCCAATAATGCAAGCACGGCAATTGCGACGCAAGTAGCAATGAGTAGGACGCTATCGACAGAATTTCCAGAAGATCCAGAGGAACCAAATCCGCCGCGTCCACCACCTGCGACCAGTAACTGCATGTCGACTTCCGCCATTCCTGCCGCGTTTGCAGCGCTGCATCTAAAATCGCCGCGATCCTGAGCGCGTGCTTCAGTGATGGTTAGATTGAGCCATCTCGATGTTGCATCTGCTATACCTTCACTAAGTTTATAACGCTCGCCATACTGATGGTTAGGTAGTACCACCCGTCCATCTCTGATCCATTTTATTTCTGGCAATGGCTCCCCACTTGCGCGACATGGCAGTGTTACAGATCCGCCAACAGCTACATCTGCCGAAGTACCTTGTCGTGGCTCTAAAATTTTCACGATGCATGCAAATTGATTCGGGTCCAAAGATGGCCAGAGACGACCACGAAGACGAGGTGGTTCTGCGCATGTAGTTGGCCTGGTATACAGATTGCGGTCAATAAACCATTCTCTGAAAGATCGCATGCGGCAATCACAAGTCCAAGGATTCCTATCTAGATCTAAACTAGCTAGTTTATCTAGTTTATCTAGCGTTTCTATCCTGATGTGGGTCAATTGATTACCATCTAAAGCAACGGTTTTCAGAACTGGGGTATTGACAAATGCATTTGATCCTATTTTCTTCAAACGATTGTCGCGGATTTCAACACGCTGAAGAAATTTCAAGTCTTTAAATGTGTCGTCTTCTATTCGTTCAATAAGATTATAATTGAGAAATATTATACGAATTTTAACGTTCGTAACAAACGTGCTGGAATGAAGGACACGTATTTTATTATGTTCCAAATACAGCTCCGTAAGAATGGAGAGACCTTTTAGAGCATCTTGATGCAGTTCTTGAAGAGTGCAATCGCGCATAAGAAGGTGATGTAAATTATTTATTCTTGCATTCTCAAATACTTCTCTTGAAAGTTCTGCGATTGGGTTACCGGACAATTCGAGTACTTGAATTTCAGGACTCAATGATGGTATAGCTGTAAGACTTGAGTTAGAGCAGTCTGCAAATTTTTTGCCAGATCTCCATTTGCAACGACAAATTGAACACTGTGCCCAGTCGTCTTCACCGAATGCGAATGACAGGAGCACCATGGCACACCAGACAAGAGCACGGAGTAGTTGCGCCATCTCGATTATAATGCGTCAGAAATGAAACTTAAAGATCGACGAAGTTGTGGACTCGTAGATTGCATTTATTTCCAGAAGACTCTCCCGGAATCTGAAATAATAAATTTTAATTATAGATTTTGTTTAAATTGGTACAGAATAATATAAATAAACATATTATAATAATAACTAAAATTTGTGTTGTAATAGTTAATATCAAATTGGAAAATCTGTACAATTTTATAATAAAATTGAAATGCAGCAAATTTAGAGTCAAACTCATTCATTGGGAGTTGTATAATAATAATCCGCATGTACTTGTTAAAACTCATTAATAGTAGAAATTTCTAATCAGGATCAACAGATCAAGAGTTATATCAAATATATCTTTGATATATTATATCAATGTGAGCGTATTGCACTCTTAAGAGTTATATATAATAATTCATGTAGAAGTTTAAAAATATATTCGTAGATAATCAAACTAGCAATTTTAGAACTAATTTCGTAATTGTTTTTAAATTTTAAACTACTGAGTTGTTTTTTTCAACATGCCCTTGTAGTATACAATATCCCTTTTCGGCCGACTATTGTAAATTCATCAAATTTATTGAATGTCCTTTACTGGACAGTTGTAAATAAAAGAGATAATAAAAAAAATTCAATCGAGAATTTTTTTGTGTTTCGACTCTGATGAAAGTATATTTTATTTTTATAGATAGTCAAATGAATCAATTTTGTCCATCCCTCATACCTAACAATTAAATTTTTAAAACGAATTATAAATACAGAGACCCTTTTGTTCGATATAGACGTACATTCTAAAATTGAACTTTTCAAGATTAACTAATTTTGCACTTATAGTAGTTTTGAAAAAAATGGGTATGAAAAACAGCTGATAAGCCGGGAATATTATAAAACAGTTAAAATACCTTCCAGTTCTTAAGTACTCTATATAAACAGCCCTAGCATACGCAACAACACCAAAACATTTGTGTTAATGTAATAACAAACATAATCTGCTTTTCTAACAAAAATGACGAGAAATATGAATTTGGAATCTTGAAAATGAAGAGAATTATTCAAAAGACGATTATCGTAGAGCGGAAATTAATTTAATACAGATATACAGAATATCCAAGCTGACATCTAGAATGGACCCATATCTGCAGCAATTGCTTTTCGTGAGAGGCATTAATTAGATGACGGTGATAAACCGCAGCGATGCTTCCGACTGGGGATGAGCAAGGTTTTTGGAAAATCGATCTTGACAAATTTGCGAAATATGTAAAAGATCACATATAAATAAAAGAGTTTACATACGAGAACACGACAATTAAAACAAAAATTATTTATACTAGACTTTATGAATAAGAACGCTATGTATATCACAAAAACAAAATCTGCCAAACTTGAAACTTTAATTTTTATTATCAAGCCTATAATATTTTAAGGAATTTGTCTTAACTATCAAATCTATCAGCAAGCGAAATTTCATCAAAATCCAAGACGAGTAGACTTATGATTCTCCTTGTGAGTCTAGAAAATGATGAAACCCGCAATCGATCCCAAAGTATCGAAATGGCATATAATTTTCCATCCCTATGTTCGACCCGAAAGAGGCGCGTTAAAGCGAACACATTATTACGTTACGCCCAGAAAATCACGTTGTGGCCATGAAATCATAAAAATAATGTCCCTCGACTTCGCAAAAATTCATAGGTCGTCATATAGACATATTTAGAGTTTCAAATATTTATTTTATTGCATTTCTTTAACGGTCCATTAAGTAAAAATAGGCCAATATGGTCGTATTACATATTTACACACACACACACACACACACACATATATATATATATATAATATATATGTGTGTGTGTGTGTGTGTGTATATATATTATATATATATATATATATATATATATATATATATATATTGTATGATTCTGAATTTGATGTTGACATATGTATTAACAAAGTCTAATAATCGGGCATAACATCAATAAAAAACATGAAATTCATGTTTTTTATTGATGTTATGCCCGATTATTAGACTTTGTTAATATATATATATACATATATACATATATATTTTTAATATTTTAGTTTGTAGTTGAAAATAAAAAACTCCGTTATTTTTTTATAAATTAAATCTTTTCGAATTTCGGGAACTTTTTAGTCTATAAAAGAATATTGGCCCAAGAGTGTTAATTTGTAATTTTCATTCCATTCCATTAAGGGGGTTGTTCTTTTTTTTTACGAAAAATGCAAGGCATTTGTTTTTGTTTTTCTCGAAATGTATTTATCATAGATACATGCGGGTTTTTTTTAAACAAAAATTACATAACCATAGAATATTACGAAATTTTCTTTTTTTTCGCTGTCATTTTCTAACCAGGGGCGGCCAAAGTCGGCCTGGCAAAATCGATCTCTTTTGCGGTGCCAACAAAACAAAAAAGAAACTACGTTGAAGAAGAAGTTTGAATCCAGTCCCCCTACCAAAATGAAAGAAAAAAAGCAAGAAGGAAAAAAATGGCAGCTATTTAAAAAAAAGTGTCGAAAAAGGCCTTTTTTTGGGGGCGAGAAGCTTCGCAAATTTTTTTTGCGTAATGTTATTACAGTTGTTTGAGGTAGGGGGACTAGGTATTGCAGTGGTGAACAAATTAAAAAAAAATGCAAGTCGATCCGACTTATAGTTTTTTTTTAATTTGTGGCACCGCATTGAAAAAAGTCATTTTGAGAGAAACGTATTTAAAGTTTTTAATATTATGCACTAAATACACAATTTAATTCAATGTACTAAATACACCATGGTGTTCAAAAATGCTGACAGATTAAAAAGGTCATGTGCATGAGGTATTATAATGAAAAAGAGGGCAGCTGGCATACAATAGCTCGATTAAAAGCGATTAAAAAAACGGTTTCAGAGGATCATACATATAGAATAATAAAAAAAACATAAAAAAACGCATAATAAGATGGTAATGGGAATAATAAACAGACAGGGAATCATTGATTTGTGGTGCTCTCAGGTGTTATAATCATTCTAAATTTATGATTTTCATAAAAAAAGTTTATTAAATAAAAAATAGTGTTATTAATTTTCTTAAATTACTGATTCTAAAATTGAATAAGTTTTCCCGAAGGAAAAGTTTAGATTTTAAGTGAGAATGGTAAAACCTAAATGTATCTATGTACAACTAACCGTAGAAAATTTTCAAAAATTATATTTGATTTGTCTATATACCGTCGATTAAATAAGTTTTACTTAAGAAAAAAACGCTATTCTATTAAATATTTTTTTATAATTTTTAACTTTTTAATTACCTTAAGTCAGAATTCCACTTACAGCTAGTTTTTTAATTATTTTTAGAAGAAAAAAAGATTTATTTAGAAGAAAAAAATATTTGTTCTTAGATGAAGGTGGTAAAGCTCCAAAAGCATGTATCTATGCATAAATAACAAATAAAATAACCGTCAACAAAAATTGAAGAAGTTTTTCTAGAAATACCCCAAGAAAAAAGCATTACTTCATCTTGAGTGAGGAATAGTAGAGCAACGACAATAAATAAATCTCGTAGACCACAAATTTATACGTAGTTATAACAAGTGCGACGAAGTTATTCTGACTACACGGGACAAAGAACAACTAACAATGCATACACACAGTTTGTATGCGACTGCATTACAGAGATGCACCATGAGCAAATTCAATAATGCACTAATGTGTACTTAGAGCTTCAAGTTGCACAATTTATTGCATTATTTGTAGCAACCCCCAAAGTGGCATTCTATTGTGTAACAGATTGGCGAACGCAAGTGCACGGCAGGGACACGGACAACTTTTTTCGAACCGCACTTCGCAAACTCCAGTCGGGGAAATGAACCGTATTGCCAATTATTAGCCGAACCATTTCCACCTTATTTATTAAAGGTATTATTAGAGTCATTATAAAAATAAATTTTTATTAGCATCATTATTATCAGTTAGGTCCGCAGGTAAAAAGGTCCGTCACCGAAATCTTAAAAACGAGTAAAGTAAGAAAATTTTTTAACAACAATATTTGAAAGTAAGGAGAAACAGATGTATAACCAGCCATCACCTCGATTCCTATGACGTCGTTGGCGGGTGATAAACGATATAGTTTGAAAATCTATAACAAAAGAATTTTGAAGTAAAACTTCTTTAGGCGCCACTAGGGTGTAAATCCGAACAAATGCAACGGAAGTCCGTTACGCCCGAACTATTCGTCATTCGCTCGTTTGTGATTAGTCGTCGTGTATGTGAATAGAGATTTATGTACGTTGTATGCGTACCGATATCAACAAGGAAATCGTCATAAATAAATAAACATTTATAGTTACATCGTAGTACAAATCTTGATTTAATGAAAAATGCCTGAATCAGAAGAATATTTTATCCTGGTCTTTAATATTTTACCCTGTTTCTTAGAAATTGGGGTGGGGTGAAAAGGAGCAATTGAACCTTTGTCATGACAAAGGTGTAAACAATAAATAATAGTAAATAAGAAAGTAAATTAAATTAAAACAAACAATTTGACATAATACCAGATCAAGGTTATCTCTGTAAAAATGTACCAATGAAATTTAGATTTCACATTATTAAAAATTAAAATTAAGACATTGGATTAGTTCGCCCCCTGGCTGTCGCCTTTTTTTATCTCGCCTATGGGGTAAAAAGCAACAGATAACAAATGTAAAAAAAGAAAAATAGTAAAAAAACACATTTTTCTGAACATAGTTCAATAATTGTCTGTTTGATACGTGTTATGTGATATCATGTAGTTCATTTGGTTCAGTCAGTTTAAATACTAAAGTCAAAGTGGACCTTTGTGCCCCGCCCTGCCCTATATTATTCGAATAGTAATCAGTTGTAATGATTTGACTTAACCCAAAACGTTGTCTTAACTATATGAGAAGAATTTTCTATTTAAACGATTTCTCCAAGTTTGATTTTTTTATAGATGCAGCAATGCCGGATTATCTATACTTCCAAATGAACTATCTATATTTCCAAGTGAAAAGCAATGTCACTGCTGCTTGACGTCAGGTTGACCAAGGCGAGTATCAAACCTGGAACCT